CAAAAAAATACGTCACCAACCACCGTTAACATTTAACGATAGGACGTAAGAATGTAATAAGGTCAACCTTGTAACCACCCGATATATTTTAATATATTTGAAATTTTCGTCCTTAATTACATTAACCTTTAGGCTCAAAAATTAGTGCACAAAAATTCGCGTCCCTTTGAGAGCATGTTAGCATATTTAGACTCCTTAAGCTACCGTGATTCTAGAAAATATAAATTTTGTAAGAATCCGACACAATATGGGTGAGATATGTCATCTATGGTAAATGAATATCCATCATAATTAAAAAGTTACAATGACGAAGACTACAAGGATATTGGTCGACTTTTGGAGAAAGTCACCAACTAGACAATCATAGTACTACTTAAAGTAGGAATTATGAGGAAAGGAACGCCCAAAACAGACGTCGCGTGTGAGGGTTATAATTTTTATAAAATTTTAACTGTAATAGAAACACGTCGAAAAACGAAATTCAAAACTAGACAAAACGACCAAAAGGAAAGTCGTAGAGAATGATGATACCTACTCGGATATATAAGAGTTGTTGAGAACGGAGTTCGTATGTGAGAGTTACGGAAATTCGAAGTTGAATTTTTACCGTCCCGCTCGCTCGTGTGCAGTGCGCGGCGCAAACTGACACACGATTGCATTGAGATACGGGATGACATGGCACGCTAAGATGAGGACACATGGCACCATCGTACAGTTCACACACATTTGTGCTGTGTGCGCTCTAAACTTGCTATAAATAGTAGGTCTCACCAGCTCATTCTTCCCTACCTACTCTTCGATTCTCTCTCTAAATCGTCTCGAGACAGCACGGACAACAAGCGTAGGCCCCAACGACAAGAGTTAGATGAGAGATAATTCATCAACACGCTGATAGATTTTCAGCTAACACCCGACCTATAATCGTTAATTCTTAAGTGAGCGAGATGGTTATGTATAGATCTATACGAGAGTGACACTCATCATAACTTTGTCAAACTAAAACTACCTATCATAAACTACTACAAGGAACTAATTCAATTTAGTAGTGATAGTACACACAAACTCGAGGAAGCGAGTTTAGGTCAACCAACGTCTATTATCTTAGACTACCACTAGGAACTCACAAACTCAAGGAAGCGAGTTTAGGATAAACAAAACAACTAAAATACCTACACACTTTTTATAACAATAAAACCCGTGGACTCACAAACATTATGTTGACCTCTGAAACCACATGTATTCTCAGGAGAATAAACCCGACCGAAGGAGACAACCCCGGTGACGCAGTCCGGAACTTATGTGCTTTTCTTTTGTACTTTGCTTTCAGAACCTACTTGTACCTCGAACAATTATATAATATCTTTTATTTAATGAATAAATAGCTATGTAGTTTAGTACATCCTGTTTATTATTCAACGCATATATTGGCCTGAAATCCCAACATCTCTAATGTTGCACAGCCTGACGCTTCCGCTACCAGCCAGGGGTGTGAAACTTATATAAATTGAAATTTTATATTTTTAAGCTTCCAAGCTTGTGAAACGTATCGAATATTGTTGGGAATTTTACACATATCATAATGTTGCTTTTCTGATTTTATTAAGAGTTTGTTTAATTAAATTAGTAAAAAGTTTGGATTAACTGAAAAGCTTATTTTGATTAATTAATTAGGTAAAAGAGAATATACTAGAGTTTGTTAGTTGTTCTCAGGACTAGCATAGATAAAACACATTTTGAATAACCAGGTTTGTGTTGATTGCATGATTAGGAAAGTTGCACCAGAACTGAATTCGCTCTTTATTATTGAATTTTATTTACTTTATTTCACTGCTGTTTTAGGTTTAATTAATAATCAAAAATCCCAATTTTTACATTTTTCTGTGTTTGACTTGTATGTGCCTTACGCAAAAAAGACATTGAGTTTTTGGCTGTGTCCATGAATATTCGACACTGCTTTCATGTGCTATCATTTAGTGCATTCGAACAGTGATAAATTTTATTTGATTAAGACTTATATGACATCATCTTAATATTTACCATAAACCTGAAAGTCTTCCTCTTAAATACTACTATGGTCAATGAACTTTTAATTCATGAAGCGATTAGCTAGCTATTATCTATATATTAAATCAGGCCCATAAATAACCTTTGGATTAGTTAATCTCTCAAGTTGATTATTTAAACCAATTTATAGAATTAATAAATAACTATTTATCTATTTTAATAAATTAATTTATTTCCTTCTTTCAATTTATTTAATTAGTAAAAAATAAACATTATATTTACATATTTATACATTCTAATTGGTAAATAATAAATTTATCTCCATATAAATTATTCTTCGTTTATATCTTTATTTGCTCTTTGTGTATGATCTGATATGCTCCATATAATTAGCAATATAGTAGAAAACAATCTTCGACACATGATGCAACAATAATATGTTAAATTCAGACAATTAGAGTTAGCTAGACTATAAAGTTTGAAACGATAGTGATCTTCTTGGAAAGTGCATGCTTTATCATTCGGGGTTGATATACTTTGTCAAATGAATTTAAGAAAAGTTAGAAAACTATTTTTTTTCCGTGTTTAATGTTCCTAAGTGGTGTAGATGTAATTTTTGTTGGGGAATACATTGAAATGATAAATATTTGAATTTGGTGAAGTAAGAGATGTAACTTGCTCCTAAGGAGGTTGATGGTTTAAAGATTAGTAGTGTTTTTTGCTACTAATCAAACACTTTTCGTTGTTTATGGTTTAGAGGTTAGTAGTGTTTTTGCCATTAATCAAACTCTTTTGGCTAAACAAAGATGACAAGTTTTTAAAGGATAAAACTGTTATTTGTTAATTTGATAATAAGTATACATTGTAAGTACGAGAATTTTGATTAGTGACACGGAGGAGAGGTATATTATGATTTATATTCGAATTTTGATTTTTTAGAGTCTTTGGTGATTGAAATTTCCAATTAGAGAAGACGATGTTTGATAAAATTTTGTAATGGAGCTTAAATTGAGTTTTGGAATGATGTGTGGATTGGTTTAAGACTATTAACCCATTAGCTTATTGTCTTACATTACATTATGCATAGAAGACTAAAGACATATCAGTTGCACCACTTTATTGAGGTATGAGATCAGATTTTGAATCGGAGAAAGGAAGTGCGATTAAACAGCAAGGGTTCGACTTTTGTCGAATTTTCGAATCTTGTCACATGTAAGGTTCTTACATATATGGAAGATTATTAGCAACGGGAATTAGATGATCTAGGATGCTTCTGTTTAATCCATAATGTACTTTCTAGATAGTAATTTTGAAGGTGTACAGGAAAATTTTTGTTCCAATGTAAGTAAACATTCTTGCTTGGCCGGAAAGATTGAATCAGATGGCTACTAGATACACTACCACCAACGTGGCTTAGTGGTGATCACTTTGAATTTAAACACTCAAAACTAAAATGATATTATATTCGACTCTCATAAAGTTCAACCTTTAGGTTGTCTGTCATTAAAAAACAATGACTAGAGATAAATTTGATAGGCGTGATTTGGATTTGCAATCGCTTCTTTGCCCAATATGTGAAATAGAAACTCAAACTATAATCATGTTTTTTTGTGATAATAATATAATTAAAGGTTGTTCTTTTTGTTGTTTGACTCATGGATGCACCATAATTACAGTCTTTAGGGTAGTTCGAATGCGGTTAGAGACTTAGGGCGTTCTTATGGGTCATTTGGACATAAGAACGGTATGGTTTTTAAATGTAAGGTGAAACCAATCTCTATGTTGGCTTTTGAAGTGAAAAAAAAACGGGGTTTTTATAGCTTAAGAATATATCAAAATGGGGTAGGGGTTTGATATAGAGTTTATGGGGTTGATTATTCAATGTTTCACACCATGTAGTCTTTTTCTCTTTCTTTCTAATATCGTTTTGTTGTTTAAAAAAAAAAAAGTTTCTTCTGGCCGTATTCTTGACTTACGTCTTGTTATATAGTAAGCTTAAAGTTCTTGCTCGGATTTGTTAAAAAACTAAATTTTATTCTTTAGAAGTTTATTCGGGGTTAGTCTTTTGCTAGGTTCCTTTAACAAAAAATTTCCATTGTTCGAAAAAAAATATAGACTATTTATATGGATATCAATTTTTGGGCACTTGCGTCAATGTAAAGAATAGAGTTTTCAAATATTGAATGAAACTATATTTGGTAGTTGAGGAGCTCGTTCATATCAAAATTCAACACTTAATTTTAATTTTAAAGAGAAGAAGAAAGAGCTTTAGAGTAAGAATAAACTAGAAGTTGCAAATTTGCTATCAGGACATTAACTATAAGTTATATAAAAAGCTGAACATTCCGATTGTAATAGTTACAAATAATTAAAAATTAATCATGAAATACACTTAAAAAAAATATTCAGAATTGTAATATCATCTAAAACATATTTAATAAATTTCTTTGATTAACTATGAATGTTTAGGGGTTTACATAAACCGTTAAACGTATACAATACATCATGAATTTAAGAGGGCAAATATCCTATCATCAGTTCACAGAAAATATGATAAGATATTTTAAAATAAAATCTTTATAATTGAATTAAAAAAATTATGTATTTCTTAATTACATATACTTATTAATGTTTTAATTGTATGATCTATTGACAATACTTTAATGTTTGTATAAACTTCATGTTACATAGTTTTTTATAACCAAACGATGAATAATCTATTTCTTGTATAAAAACTTGTAAATTTATAAAATGTATTTATCTATCTATAATTATTTAATATTCAAACCTAAATTTATATAAAATAACACTTATTTGTGAACATATTGACAGCCTGTCGCTATCTACCCAACACGTGGACGTCTTTTACATGTTTTAGGGTGTGACCGTTCCCCTACTATTTATATCTTCTCCTCCCCCACCATATCCGCCACCGCTCTCCTCCCTCTCTTCTGTACATTTCACACAAACCTTCAAATTCGGTTGCAGAATCAACAATGGCTGTTGCTTCTACTTCTTCAAGTACGAATTGGGTTAATACTAGACCCACATTCTCTTCATCTCCAAGACGCCGATTGGGTTCGTCTTCCATTTGTTACAGTAAAAAGCTCAATTCTAAAACAATTCACTGTGCAATTGAAACACAATCGATCATCCATTTTCCCAATCGATCTCCATGTAAAGAATCCACATCCACATGTCACCCTGAATCACCTTCTTCTTCGTCGTTTTCTTATTCTCCGGTAGCACCACGGAATTGGAACTTGTTCCAGAAGGCTGCTGCAATGGCATTGGATGCAATTGAAAACGGGTTGAGAACGCGAGAAAAGAAACACCCATTACCGAAAACAGTAGACCCGGATGTACAAATTGCCGGAAACTTCTCACCTGTACCGGAGCAACCAGTTCGGCACTTTTTACCAGTCGCCGGAAAAATCCCTGATGATATTCAAGGCGTTTACTTAAGAAATGGAGCTAACCCCTTCTTCCAACCTACCTCTGGTCACCATTTATTTGACGGAGATGGTATGATTTACGCCGTGAAGTTTGATCAAGGTTCTGCTAGCTACGCTTGCCGGTTTACTGAAACGCAGAGACATGTTCAAGAACGTGCGATTGGGAAACCAATTTTCCCTAAAGCAATCGGAGAACTCCATGGTCATTCTGGTATTGCTAAGCTTCTCCTTTTCTACGCTCGTGGATTGTGTGGATTGGTTGATTGTAGTCAAGGAATCGGCGTAGCTAACGCCGGCTTGGTTTACTTCAATAACCACCTTTTAGCCATGTCGGAGGACGATTTACCTTATCACGTTCGTGTCACACCCTCCGGCGACTTAAAAACCGTTGGAAGATACAGCTTCAACGATCAATTGAAGTTGAATTCCACCATGATCGCGCACCCTAAACTCGACCCTGTTTCCGGCGAGTTATTCGCATTGAGCTACGACGTCATCAAGAAGCCTTACCTGAAATACTTCAGGTTTTCGCCGGAGGGAAAGAAGTCAGAAGATGTGGCAATTGATTTGAAAACGCCGACAATGGTTCATGATTTCGCGATCACGGAGAATTTCGTGGTGATTCCCGACCACCAAGTGGTTTTTAATATGTCGGAGATGATCACCGGTGGATCACCGGTGGTTTACGACAATGAGAAGGTGTCACGTTTTGGGGTTTTAGATAAATACGCTTCGGATGGGTCGGGTATAAAATGGATCGAAGTTCCGGATTGTTTCTGTTTCCACCTCTGGAACGCCTGGGAAGAACCTGAATCCGGCGAGGTTGTCGTGATCGGATCCTGCATGACTCCGGCGGACTCCATCTTCAATGAAAGTGATAAAGAATTAAAAAGCGTCTTATCAGAAATCCGATTGAACCTTAAAACAGGGGAATCAAGTCGTCGAGCCATAATCTCACCTGAAAATGACGTCAATTTGGAAATAGGAATGGTGAACAAAAACCTCCTCGGCCGGAAAACAACCTACGCTTATCTTGCAGTGGCGGAGCCATGGCCAAAGGTTTCCGGCTTCGCTAAAGTGAACCTCTCCACCGGAGAAACCAGTAAGTTCATCTACGGTGACTCAAAATACGGCGGCGAGCCTCTGTTTCTTCCCAATTCAGAGAACGAAGACGATGGTCATGTACTAGCCTTCGTTCACGATGAGAAGACATGGGAATCGGAGATTCAGATTGTGAACTCAAAGACATTGGAGTTAGAGGCAACAGTGAAGTTGCCGACGAGAGTTCCTTATGGTTTCCATGGGACATTCATAAACACAGACGACTTGGCAACACAAGCATTGAGCTGACATGACACGGCGTTGGATTGTAATTAGAAACTTCTATGAACATAATTAGATGAATATGAAGTTGGTATCATTATTATTATATATATATTAAAGTTGTGAAGAAAAAGCACACTAAACGTGAGAAGACTTAAATTATATTTTCGGTCCTTCGTTTGTTTTATATTAAGGAAATGAGAGTTAGGAACAGTACCTACTGTTCCTTGGGTTACCACAGGGTTACGCGTATTCCTTCCCCATACTTCCACCGTCTTCCTTTATCTGTTCCGATTTCCACCGTCTTCCTTTTATCATCTTCATCAGGTCGATGGTTCTTCTACTTCATGCAGCCGTCTGGCTGCACGACCGCGACCGTGCCTCCATTTGATCGTGTTATTCTTTCCAGTACCTTCAATTACCCTTTTGTTCTCAGTTCATTCCTGCAAGTTGTGTTCGTTCTACCGACTCCCGTTCTCCATCGGCCTCCAAAAGCCCTAAATCAAGAAATTGTATAAATCGATGATCACAAAACCTTCACGACCACCCTCTTCTATTCCTTTTTCGCTCCAGTCTTCTCATCAGATGTATAGGCCTTCTGATCCTCTTCTCCTTCTTTCTACTGAAACCCATCGCCGGTGCTAACGACGACTGCTTGGTGGCCTCCTGCGGCGCCCACCAACCAGAAATACGTTTCCCGTTCCATATCCTCGGCCGGCAACCCACCCGCTGCGGATTCCCCGGTTTCAACCTCTCATGTGACGAACAAAACCAAACAATCATCCGACTTCCGTCATCCCGCTCATATATCGTCAATAGAATTTCCTACGTTTCATAGGTTCGTTTCCAAAACATTACAAAAATAAATCGCTTCAAATTCAAAATCACGTCTCTAATCAGAGACATGTAAACGATTCACAGGTGATCTACATAGATCCGGAATATCTCCTGTTTCCAAATCTGAGTCTCCGAATTCATCTGCATGAACATCAACTGTAATCGCCTCTCTATATCTCTCTATTTGTACTTTTGGAGATGTATATATGGTATGTACATAAGGTGTTCTATGAAATGTTTTACTGTTTTTTTATGACCGATTATTGCTTTTGTTTTGATTTGTTTCGCAGATCTCTGATTCCAAGTTGAACTTTTTGGGTCGATTGCGTCCCAGATAAACGAGATCACGATTTTCCGGATGTGTCGCTGCTCCTCCTCCCTCCAGTTCAATGAAAACTTCCGCTACAACGGACCACGTTCATGATATTGACAAACAAATTCGACAACTGAAAAAGAAGGTAACTCCTTACAAAACATGGGTTTAAACAGTGTAATTAATCCCTAAAATTATTGTTTTCGTGATATTATTGTTTGTTTATAATGTTGGGTTGCAGATTCTATTGATGGAGGCTCAACAACAGAAAGCAGGGTGTGGTCGTGATCCAAAACAAGAACAAGTCGAGAAGGTTGCTAAATTTGAAGATTGGAGGAAGGAATTGGAACTTCTGTTGGATGCTTCTCTAGGATCACTATAAAGGCATTTTTGTTGGGATAAAAAAGGTTAGATGTTCAAATACATAGAAATTTACAATTCTTCATTGTTGTTTTTTGTATGCAAAAATCAAAACCATGTTTGTTAGACATGTAGCAATAAACTGAACATATAACAAATGGTGATTTTTTCGGATGTAGTGATTTCCATTTCATGGAAGAATGTGTTTTTCTCTTCTATTTTTGATAATGGAATGATATATTGTAATTTCACATTATTTTTATGAATATTATTTTCAATAACACATGCGTTCAAAAAAATTTTAAAAAAAAACTTTAATTAAATATATATTTGTTATATATCTATTGAGATATATTGGTGTGTAGCAAAAATTGCATGGTGTTTGATGTTAAGATTTTCCAATCTTAAACTGCATCCTCTGCTTTTGACTACAAATCGGTGAATGAAACTCATGCCATTCAGATTACAGAAACCCGTTATCACTGGTATCTTGCTATGTTTTAATTGCTAATTTTTTGTTACTTATAATTGTACAAAGAAAGATTTATATAAGTTGGTATAATCTATTATTCATTAAAATTTCTAACCTTTTTCTATGCCTGTTGACAGAAAAATGCAAACTCATTATGCATGTTCTGAAAGTACCCTTCTGGTTTTTAAGTAAAATAATCACCAATAAGTTAGTTCTTAGAATAATTTTCCAAAAATACCCTTATGGTTTTTAAGTAAAATCATAAACACAACATATCTATTTTGTAGGTAATTAAGTTTGAGGATGTTAAAGAGTTGGGAAGTGTGCCTGCTGTTAAGGTATGTAAGCAAAAAAATCTATGTTTATATGATTTTTGTTTTGTGTTTTATAGGAGATATTGCTTATTTTTGGAAAATTGAAAAATTGAGATCTGAATTGATGAAAACACATACAATTGGGATAAAATGGTGGAATTTGAAACGACGGTTAGCGAATACTAAATAGTAATGTACCTTGCATTTTTGTTACGACTCTTTTACCAAAAACCAAAGTACATTGCCATTTAGTGCATTTTCCATATTTAGATGGTAAATGCAGTAAATAGCAATGTACTTTGCATTTACACGTTTTTTTTCATATTTTTTGTAATTTCTTTTAATTTTTTCCAAAAACCTAGCTACATTGCCGTTAGGTGCATTTTTCATTTTCTGGAGTAAAATGCCCCAAATAGCAACATACTTTGCATTAACCAAAATACAATGCTATCAGGTCATTTTTCCGTTTTTTGGTTATTGATACAGTAAATATCACTGATAGTTGAAGAGTAAAACTGTTTATGTGGATGAAAACAGAACATGGAAGTCATATATATTTTGGTCCACCTTCAAGAAATGGTTGACTGACGATACTACCATATCGTAATTAACAATTTTTTCTCAACTCACTTTGCAGTTACACCTATTTCTTTATGTTTTTTTTCCAATTTTTTTCAATTTATCAACAAAACTGACTATTAATGCCCCATTATAAACATTAGTATATAGTATATTTTATCACCAATTCATGGGAATTGAGCCAGCTCTGTGTAATTTTTTGTTTCAAAAAAAAAATTTACAAATTAATCATCATCTAAAAATGTAAAAATTAATGTAAAGATTTTAAATTAAGGTTAGAATTACTAAATTAAATTGCTTCTATTAATTCCAATTATTATATCTCAATGTTACCTAAATGGTTAATGACATTCATTTGGAAGAATGTATAACTACATAGTGATAATGTTGACCTATTTAACTATTCTTCATGCTTCTTAACAGCAATCAGCTATGAAGGAATAGAAAACTGATATACAAAATGTCAAAAAAAGGGTTTTTTTGGTGGAAAAAGAATAGTGTAATTGAAATACATGGTAATTTGCATATCCTTTTCTAATGTGCATTCAATCTATTTGTTTTGTAATCAAGCTCGAAGCTGGTTGATAAACACATCTGCACCTTCTTGGAGTTCCGGAAAGGGAAATGTTGGATGAGATCAGATAATCAAAACAGTGGATGTCCAAGTCAGTCCTTTGTTTTTTTTTCTCACTTTTGCTAATCATAGTGCCAGATCCACCTTTAGCTATGAAATCAGGTATGTTCACTGATTTGTTGCCTTTTTAATTTGTTTTTCTAGATTTGAGAACGTTTGGTTTGCTGTTTGTTCCTCAGATTAGTACGGATAGATGGGTTTGCGGTTTTATGAGCACACAGATTTAGCTACAGTTTTATGAGTTTTTGCCAAAAATATCTATGAGGTTAGTTCAATTATGTATTCAGAATATTGTTTTTGGTTTTGTCCATGGATTCTTTTCTTCAGGGTTCTGACTGGAAGGTGAATATTTCTTTTTTTATTACTCTCATTTTTTCCATTTGGAGCAGTAATAAGAAGAAGACATCGATGTGGTTAGTTTTTTTTTAATCAAATTGATGCTATGGTGCTCAGATTAATATAAAGCTTCTATTCTTCTTTCAAATATCTATAATTTTTCATTTGATTTTTTAGATTTTAGGGTTTCTTAGTTTGTGGTTATTGTACAGGTGATTTGAATAACCTTCCTGCTGCCTTGCTCCACGTTTGAACCAGATGCCCTGTTAAGGTTGGTTTACATGATTCCTAGATATATTAACAGAGAGTGTGACAACTATTAATTAATTAAAAAATGAAAAAATCTTTGAATAGTTGGGACATTTTTTATTTTGATGCTATTGTAGAGGTATTTTTATGCATTTACGGTATTATAAAAATGAAAAATTGTTCAATAATTTGATTAAAAACGATATATTACAATCGTATGTATGTATGATTTATTTATATTCATTAAAAAATATTAATATTACAAATAATGATAACACATACTCTGGATTTTATAGGTCGTTGTGTATCTTGGTGAGATGGCAGGGGTACGTGTGGTTGAAAGAAGAGAAAGCAAAACACTTGCATCAACAGATGAAAGAAGGTTGTTATTATGAACATTTAATAGTTGAAAGTATATTCTTATTTGAAAGAAGGTTGTTATTATGAACATTTAATAGTTGAAAGTATATTCTTATTTGAAAATACTTTTTAGATTAACGGAAGCGATTCTAACTTTAAGTAACACATCTTTATGCAAGGTAACTCTCATTGCAACCCGGTTAAATTCTGTAGATTTGGAGCTATAATTGCAAGGTTGCAACATTTTTTATTTTTTGCTAAATATTAAACTAATACTATCATTTTGTTTGTTATAGACCCCCAATTACAACTACTCATTTTTAATAATTGTTTTTTTTAATATTGCATGTGACATGGAAGCATTTGAATAATTGCGGTGAATAGCAACATACTTTGACTTTTCATTTTTTCTTCTGTTTTTTTTTTTTCCATTTTTTTTTCGCAAAAACTTAACTACATTGCCATTAGGTACATTTTTTATTTTTTTGTACTAAAATGCCCTAAATAACAATGTACTTTCAAGTTCTACTTATTTTTTTTTTTCTGTTTTTTGCATTGTCATTTTGGTGACTTTTCCATTTTTACGTTATAGATGCAGTGAATAGCACTGTACTTCAAATTTAAAAAATCTTTCCTGTTTTTATTGAATTTTTTTCCCGTAAAACTTTCGATCGTATCTGTTTAGCTCCATGCCCCGCAACCCGGGGCTCCTCATCTAGTATATATTAAAGTTATGAAAGATTTTAACAGACATTTTTTTGTCAATTTTGGTCCTCCAACTTACAACATTGACCCTTCATCTTTATGCTTTTGTTTACAAACAACCCTTTCACTTTGGTTTGAATTTTTCATAACCCTCGCCTTTTATTATATATTATTAGTATTTAGTCTTTTGGCAGAAATTGTCCCTCATCATTATTATTATTATTGTTAGACAAAATTACACGATTGGTCCCTGTGGTTTATCAGATTTAACATTCTCTTTTTGGTTTTAAATTAATGTTTTATTTATTGATGCTTTTGTTCACAAACAACCCTTTCACTTTGGTTTGAATTTTTCATAACCCTGGCCTTTTATTACATATTATTAGTATTTAGTCTTTTGGCAGAAATGGTCCCTCATTATTATTATTATTATTGTTAGACAAAATTACACGATTGGTCCCTGTGGTTTACCAGATTTAACATTCTCTTTTTGGTTTTAAATTAATGTTCTATTTATTAGAAAATACTCACCCAATACCATAAACTCACCCACCATCTGCCATCACCACCACCACCACCGCCACCGCCAAAATTACATAGATGGTCCATATGGTTTACCTATGGTGACAAATTCAGTCCCTACTACCTGAAAAGACCAAATTACCCTCATATTAACGGACAAAAAGCAACCAACATGCTACTTTACTTTACAAAGCAATACCTTCCGACCCCGACAACGCCAGAGAATCTTTTCTAGTTACAATTAAATTTGTGATATAGAAGTGTGTCCCTAAATAGTAACAAAGTCTTAACTCTTATTCTATTTAGATTATTACTTTTTTTAATTTAATATGCTTAAGAATGATATTATACATTTAAAGTATCTGATTCGACACATGATCTAAATAGCAATTTGACTTACAGCTTGAATTTCACTCAAATATCATTTTGAATCGAGGAATTTAAGATGATTTTGAATGAGGAATTTAAGATAATGACATTTTCTTCTTTGATATTTTTAGCAATGAAAAGTGAAAACAAACAAACAACCAAATAAGTACAAAAATAAATTGTTATCGATCAAAGAATAATAAGTAAATGCAAGAAAACGGTAAATTACGACGTAACATCTTAATATTTTGGATCTCCGGCACAAAACCTAAGGAGGTAATGAAATTACTTGCCATAAAACTAATATTGATCGATACAAAATTACAAGTGCTAGCTGATCTTAAAATTTGTGTAAAAGTGCTCTAAGTGTCGAGAGAATCAGAGTGAAAGTGGAAGCGATCATGGGCAAAAAACTGTTTGGGTTAGGGCTAGGTCAGAGAAACCTATCGTTGAGTATTTCATAGATTTAGGGCTATTACTTGGTAATGAGAGTGAAGTTGGTGGTTTTTCTAATGTCGATATCGATTTGCTTCGATCATCAGGCAAGTTTCCACAAGACCTAATCACAAGACACCATCTTTAGGGTTCCTAAGTCATTATTGAGAGAAGACTATCTTTCTTCGTTTTGGGTTTGTCTTTATGAGTTTCCTTTTATTATTGTTCTGTCATTCCCTTTTCCCCCACTGATTTCGGAATTTTTCCAAGTCACCAAACTTGCTTATGCCTAAGTCATGCTAGTTACTTGTCATATCTTGTTTTAGATTCATCATCTAAATGAATCAAAAGGTTTAAATCTTGGATTATCTAAAATAGTGAGTATCTACAATATTCAGACTTTTGGTTTTCCCATGTTGTTCTAAAAGTAGAGACCGGTAAACCTTATCTTGTCTTAAAAAGTTCTCATGTGGATCATGATTGGAAAATGAGATACTTTTTTGTTAAAAAAATTTCTCTAGGGAGAGATCTTCTCCCCCAAGATTGGTTGACTGAGGGTACAACTTCCATTTCGTCATCAACACCCGGGTCTATAGGCTCCCAACATGTCGTTGTTTCGCTATGAACCGCTAACTACCGTAATAAATAACTTAAGCATATCAACATTTATGTATACAGAGATGGATATGCATTATAACATATAGTATAGTGAGATAACTCACCTGGACAATTACTCAGACAATTAACAACTATATGGGTAATCCAATTGGTTAGCAATACGCCTCACAAGTATTAACCTATAATACTATAGCTTAATAGTCCCTATGTCAATATGGTAATACATGATAAATCTTTTCATTATTTCCAATGAATAACGAGAGTTCAATCAAATAAGGATTAGCCAGGCAGGATCATTTCGGCATATAGCATTTCTGAAATGCAACAACCAAGCCAACATGCTCATTCTCCATAAGTAGATTAATTAGTATTACGACTGGAATTACTGATAAATACTATGTATACATTCATAACAATGACTATGAATACAAATATAAGTTACACTTAAAGCGTAGTAAGTGCATCCTAACTTATAGAGATTCCTTGTGAAAAGCCAAAAACTCGCTGACAGGACCTCGATACCGAGCACTTCTTTCTGTGCGGCTCTATCCTGGTCCAGAGTCTCGCTAAAGTAGAATTCTCTATAATCCCAAAAACTCCATAAAAACTGGATGTTAGAGAGAGATAGGAGAGGCTTTGGTGTGAGAATGAAGTGAAACCAAAGCTACTATTTATAGGAATCAAAAGGGTGCAAATCGTGCGTACTTACCATGTGCGTCGTGCGCTACGGCGACGTCTCTCCTATGCCTCGCTGCCATCTGTCTCTTTTCCTGTGGTTTACGCCTCCCTTCCAGATGTTGTGCGCGTCGTGCGTACGAGATTTTATTTTCTTCTAAAAATCGTATCTTTCTCATACAAGCTTCGTTTTCAACGTTATTTATATCCACGCTTAGCTATCGACAAATACTACAGCTTCCATTTAGGCGTCATTGGCTAACTCTCACTTTATTTTTAAAGTTATATTTTTAAATGGCTTAGACTGTTAAGACCCGTATAAAAATTGTAACTCCTTCATACGACCTCCGTTCTTGACTTTCTTTATATCAACAGGTTCATATTCACGAGATCTTCAACTCCATTTAGATTGTTTTTGCTAACAATCAACTGATATGAATTTTGATTCCTGTGTTGCAGACTATTGCACTGAAACTTTAAAAAATCATAACTTTCACATACGAAGTCATATTTAGGCGTTCTCTATATGCATGCTCTCGCTTTTACTATTACTACGACTTTTATTTAGATCACCGAGGCTAATAAGTACTATATTTCTACTTTGTAGAACATTCTATTGTATGGCGAGAACGGAGTGTTACAACTCTTTCCCACTTACATATATTTCGTCCCCGAAATCCTATTCCTAGCATGCCTTAAGACAGTGTCTTCACACCATCTTACTTGGGTACTCGAGGTTAACTTGGGACCTGGCCAACGCCTCCTCGTTGATTCCTCACCTCTATGCTTAATAAGTTGTAAAACTTCGTTCTTTACCTTAGACGAACTTCCGAATTTCTCGCAAAGCTTTCGAAAACTGAGAATTCGTTGGTCTAGACTTCCAGAATTTATGCTCTACGACTGATGATCGTCTTTAAATGTAAAATTTTTATTTGTTCCCTTGACTAAGAACATTGTCGACTCGTTATAAAGGGAGTAACTAGGGATTTTTTTTTCAGGACTCCTAATTGATTCCACTTTATGGAACATGCTTCTATAAAAGGCTTATGGTATATCGCGAAAATACAAAGAACCTAGATTGCTAATAGTCTTTATACCCAGTTCAGGTGTTCTGACAACCTGAATTTCAACCAAAGCCACTATAATAGGTATATTGGTTCAAAAACTCTAGAACCAATACTTAGTACTGGTGGCGTACTCATATAAGGCTTGCTTATCTTCCAGCCTACTAAATTATAATGAACACTAGGTCACCAATAGTCTTCTAGAAAGGCTCTAACTACTTTACCTATATCAAGGTATCACTATCGCTCGAACAATTTTTTCATATGCCTTCTCACGACACGTCGTGGTACTATCCAACTACTGTGATTACAATACCAGATCGCTCTTGTCATCATCCCTATCGGGCCAGATCACTTGGGAGGAAAGATTAACCTTTCCTCGAGAATCACTCTAAGAAACTCATAGCCTATGTGTACTTTAGCAGAAGACTTCCTTCTTTTGTTACATGCATAACAAAACTGAAACTAACATCCTCCAACTACTTATGTCGCAACTCTCTTGGACCTTGACGTTGAAATCAAAATTCGAACTACCCTTCACACTTTATCCTTAAGAGTCGGTTCTCCCCTACTTGGGTTCGACCCATTATCTGCACCTACTTGTAACTGATCAAATCCCAAACTGGCTTTACTTATGTGATTCGTAGCTGTTTTTGACTTTAAAGAAACACATGATTTTCATATCTAATGACTTTCAACATTATAATTGTAGCATTACTGCTTATGCCCACCGTAAGTGGTCTCCTTGCGTAGCACGACCAAAACAAGATAAGTTCGAGAAAAGCACAACATTGCCTAGAAATGCTATAAAGCACACGCATGTTTAAATGGTATAAGTGGGTATTACTAACATAGTCAAACTACTAACAACAACGACGATTGTTGGGTCTACTCCATCCTTCTCGTTTCTCTGGGATAGTCACCTTGTCGTGTTCCAATTATCATGCTTGTAATGATCCTCCTA